ATGGTTTCACATGCTTTATATATTTAAAACTCAATTATTAGTAATCTCTTGTTGAAAATGTTTGTCTGCTAAACAGCACGTTTCTGGAAAACTGTACATTTTATTCTTGTGTAAACAGTTACTGACTGACCACATATTGGCAAGTAACAAAAGCAACACAAGCAGAAGTGGGCAATTGTTCAGTGCCAGAAGAACTACTGAAAAATGTGGGGAACTCTAGTTATCTAAGCAGTTTTGCTACATGGGACGGCATAATAATCACAAAAATATAAAAGTATTAAAACAATATTGCAGCACAATGTTCTGGAGAGGTAAAATGGCACATACACCCCCCAAAAAAAATGTTTGGACATGGACTATACTCAGCTTTCTTCCACTTTAGTCCAGCTGTTGAGTCATGACTGGTTTAAAATCCAGGAGAAAAACAACAAACGCATTTCAACTGACTTGCTGCCCTTCAAATCTGCTCAGGCTGCACACTGTACGCAGAAATTAAAATCAAAATATCTGAAAGACACAATTGGAAGATGCCTGCTCTACCCAGAGATGAGGAAAAGTAGCCGAGATTCTGAGATGTTATCATTGGAAACCATTTCAAAAAGTTTGCACACAACTCAAAACCTTCTTCCGTTCGTCCCCCCCACCCCCCAAAATATAACACTGGCAGAGGAGAGAACTGCACATTTTAAGTTCATTGTTCTCAATCGTAAATGAGGATAATGTCATGACATCACTCATTCTCCACCAGCTCGGCTTTGTAAAACTAAATTCAAGCCATCCTGGCCTTGAAACACACCGTTTTCCCAGCAATGTGATAAAAATAGGCTACATTCAAAATTTGCAGAAACCAGGATCCATATCTTTCAGATTTCTTACCCCTTCACCTCAATATCACAGGCCCGTCTCCTACTCTACAAAAAACTTTTTTTTAACATAAAAGGCTTTCTACCAAAATTCTAAAGTCAACTTTAAAAATCAGATCACAGATCAATAGCCTGCAAGATGTTAACAAAGAAGTCATCAGCCTTTAAAGCAGTGGTCACCAACTGGCGGGCAGTCCACGAGAAAATTTTGGTGGTCCGCAGAAAACCTATTTGCATTTTCTATATTGCACTAGATACTATTTATCTTTTTTAAAAATTTAAATTATGAATTTAGATGTCCCTGAGGTCCGAAAGGTTGGCGACCCCTGCTCTACAGGATGGAATGTCTGATCCTTCCCTGGTGGCTGGAGAGGAAGAATTTCTTTCTCCCTGTGCAAATGGCAAAGGAACCAAAGGAGCAATCTGTTGTTTTCCCAGTCAACTCGTTCATCAGCACTGGAGCTCCATATCCTCTCCTGCATCACTTTCCCTATTGCCTATGGCTGTCGGGGAAGCTGTTAAATACTAGCCTGTTTAAAATTGCTAAATTACAAGCTTCTCACACCCTAGAAATATGCTGCAACATAGACACTGTCCCAAAGTCAGAGCAAGCTGACTTGTAAGTACATGCCAGACCTCAGATTATGAAGGCAAGCAGTACACCGTGCATTTACCGGCACCTGTGCTCTTCCCTGCAATATACCACTTTCAACATACACGGAGGAGGGTGCAGTTCTTTGTTTAACTAAGTGCAGTGGTTCACACAACCTGTAGTCCACAGATGTGATGTCAACACGGGGGGATCGTGAAGGCTTGGACCAAATGCTATGATTTCAATCTTGAAGTAGGACTTGGTGGTCCGTGACCACAAAAGGTACTTAAAGGGAGTCAGTGGTGTAGAAAAGGTTGAGAGCCACTGACGTAATGCACTATGAACTTGAAAGTCTCCATGTTTTTAGAATTAAGCTGATCAGCATCTGGTTAAGACCTTGTCTGGTTCTCTTGGCCAGACTTTTCTTTATGCAAGGGGAAAAGAATAAAGAGTGGAGGAAAAACTGTCCTAAAAATAATTTCCAACAAATCAGATCCTAAGCATATCTAGTTCTTCCACCTACAAAACAGCTCTGGCGAACGGAATTTTATAATGTGAAATCTTTATGCTTCCTATTCTTCCATCTGCAACCGTTTAATAAATCAAGATGGTTGTTTCCACATAAGCTGCCAATGTAACACTCACCCATTTATTCTTATCCCGCTTCTTAAGTATGTCAGTATAATCAGTACAAGCATGCATATTCACCAGTGACCATTACATCAGTTCTATCTCTTCACGCTGGATTCGGTAAAAGATCTCTGAAATACGAAAATGGCTTTTGACGTTTTCCGAGCACTGTAAAAATCTGTGGAATCAGACCAACCATCCATGCACATCAACATCAATCGCCACCTTTCCATAATGACCCCATTAGGTGGTCTCTTGAGAACCACAAACAAGACACAAAGGGATTTCTCCTGACTAGGAGTTTCTACCAGCACTATCTTACAGGTTGTCTCATCCGCCTTAAATCCACCCATTAGCAACTGTCAGCATAACCTGTGGAAGCATGTTCCATAAATTAAATGTCTGATTTAATTTAAATTTCAACCCCGATCATCAGTTTTATTTAATAACTCAAATATTACGAAGGTAGGATCTGGATCTTCGCACCTCCTTGAATGGAACTATAGCAAAATGCATTGAACCCAAGTGCTTTAAACAGTTCTGGGTCCCGTTTCCCCCCCCCTCATCCCCCGCAGCCAAGAGGAATAAAGTGCTTGCCCTTGAAAAAAATACAAGAAGTACTTCCAAACAGCTTTTTCAGACATCTTGTGAAAAAAATTCTCAGCAGAAAAGAAAAAGTAAAAAAAAAAACCCCACAAAATCTGCTTGGCATCAGCAACTTATTTCTGTACAATTTGCAGCCTGAATGTGCACCCCCTTCCCTTCAGGTTTAATTCTAGTAAGGATCTTCAAAGAAGATACACAGCCCTGTCTGTATATCTTTAAAGCAGATGTCATACTTCATGCTCACCCCTGCTTTCTTAGATATATATATATATATAACTACCTCCTATTCTGATATTTTTTCATTGGAAAATCTAAGATGAAACATTTATTTTACTGTTGCCTTACTGAAAATATGCTTTTATACAAGCATGTATTTATATTCTCTGAATCATCTTTCTGAAATTAGATATATCATCATTTTCACTCCTTTTCCCATCCTTATCTTCTCCACACCATAGTGAAAAGAAATCTCAGCAGACAACATTGATTCACAATCTCTTTTAGTTTCCCTAACACTCCCCAGCATGCATATACAGTCATTACTTTCTGGAGCTCTAACCTTCACTGTCAATTTCGATAGTTCCTCTATGGGAAAAGTTTTAGTTCCTGCAGATCACTGGATAATAATAAAAAAAAGATGTGCATAAGGCTGTAAAGGACTATGAAGCGGTAGATAAGTCTAAGTGTTATTTCCATTCCGACTGCCAGTTATTTAACAGGAAAAGAGTATGTTTTTGCTTCAAGTAATATTATTGAAGGAGAGGGAGGCCAGAGCTCAACCAGATGTGTTTTGTGTCAGAGCGCCAATCAGTTCTTGCTACTACAACATACCTCTTAAGAGCACAGAGAAACCATTAAATTTTTTTTTGCAGGTGGGGTTTTATTTGGCAGCGAGTATCCTAAATAAACAGAAGTCACAATAACCAGCGTTAGGACTCCTTTAAAAAAAACAACAGCATCAGGTTCTAAATGGCTGGACCTTCAGATTCTATTGAGGAAAGAGAGGGAGAGATTGCCTGGGGAAAGAAGCCATGTTCGTTTTGTTGCCTCAAGTCCCTCGGAGTTTTTTTTTGTGGACATCTTAAAATCGAAGCCAAGGAAACGGTTCTCATGCTCCCAGGGTTATGGAGATCATCTGGATAGATTTTATTAGAAACATTCCTCTGCTCCCAACAGAATAGCTTATGCCACCAGACTTGAAATTTTGGGCTTAGTGACAACTTCGCCATCTTCGATCCGACCTGAGAGTAGTACATAAAATTATCTGCTACAATGACTGCTTCAGCTTCAACCACAACAACACAATTGAGCTCACAATAGATACAAACGTATGGTAAACCACTCCAAACAAAATTGCAGAAAATATGACTTCAGCAACAGAGTGATAAATGCCTGGAATGCTCTACCTGACTCCGTTGTTACATCCTCAAACCCTTACAGCTTCAACCTTAGACTGTCTACTGTTGATTTCACCCCATTCCTAAAAAGTCTGTAAGGGTCGTGCATAATAGCAATAGCAGTTAGACTTATATACCGCTTCATAGGGCTTTCAGCCCTCTCTAAGCGGTTTACAGAGTCAGCATATTGCCCCCAACAACAATNTCAGCTGAAGTGGCCTGCAGTACTGCACCCTAACCACTGCGCCACCTCAGCTCTTGTAAAGTGTTCCTGGGTGATGGGGGGGGGCAGAAACGAGGAAAAAACAGCCCATTTTTCACTCATTTTTGCCCTCCCCAGGCTCCAGGAGCACCCCGGAAGCCTCCTAAAGGCTATGCATGGCCATTTTGGTGAAGGGGGCAGGATTTCAGGATGCCAAAAATGCTGCATTCAGTGTATAAGACGCACCCAGATTTTCACCTTTTATGAAGGGAAAAGGTGTGTATTATACAATGGAAAATACGGTAATATAAATCGCAAGTCACAGCTGATCGTTGGAAATACCCGTTCGCCCGAACCGGTAGCATTTATTTTTATTACCGGTTCAGGCAAACAGGTAGCATTTCACGCCTGCTTCATGTTCTGATCACGAGGGATGGTGCAAGCATCATAAATACATACCAGTTGCAGCAAATGTCCCAAGTGTGAGGACCGGTTGTAAATCACTTTTTGTGGTGCCCTTGTAATCACGATTCGCACGCAGGCACGTGGGTGCGTCTGCCCCTCCCACAAAACCGTCACCCTCTTCCCCCTACTCCGGGCTGCCAACCCGGAAAAATTGGGGACTCAACTCTACAGGCAGCACCTGAATCTCAACCTACCAAGCAAAACACTCAATAACGTTAAAGGGGGGGGGGGGGATAGACAAATACCACAGAGCCACGCAGCCAATTGCTCATCATTGACACAAGACACTTTCTGGCTGCTCCTTTTGCCACCTTTGGGAGTCCCTGATTTCTGTCCTGTGCTTCCTCCTCTCAGAGGCTCGTCCAGGGGGCTCTTACAGTACAGGTGGTCTAAGAGCTCTGTGCCAAAGACGTCCGTGCCGATAGGCCCTTCCACTTCCATCTGACTACGGCAGTCTTCGTTCTGGACTGACTCCGTCACAGGACCGTTAGTGCAAACGTCATCGCTTGTGCCCAAATCCAACTTGGGGGACTCCAGGTCCACCTCGTCGGAACCCAAAACCTGTCTGGAATCTTCCTCGTCGTGCCCCGAAACAGAGATTTCTTTTTCTGTTGCGATGAAAATGTCTTCGGGGCAGCTGTCCAAGGACGGCATCTCCCCTACATCCGCCCTAGGCAGGGCCTCCGTCCCGGAAGGAGGACTTTTCTGCAAGTCCGGAAGCAGGCAGGGTTCCACGATACCGTTTTGGTCTCGGGGCGCCAGGTTCTTGTAATGGAGCTGCCTACAGTGGAACAGTCTCTCCTGCGTAAGACAAGCGTCATGCCGGCACGTTTGACTCTCCTCAATAAGTGGTCCTGGCATGTTACTGTTCATATCGGAGACGCGGAACAGGTCCCAAGGAGAGTTACGCTTGGGTTTCCGTGAAGGAAGCGAGGCCGCGCGGTCCCCTGCGAAGGCCTCCGCTTGCTGAGCCTCTTGCCAATCCCTGGTCACTTTCGCCGCCCAACTCAGCTTGCTTTTGTTCAACTGACACGTTTTCCCTCTCCGAAGCTTGGGAAGAGATTTTGCAATTTTAATTCGAAACTTAACCAGAGAAAGTTTTTTATGCATCATAAATGGGAATCTTTTTAAAGTACACTGGTTGAATTTAGGCCGTCGGGCAATCAAGAGGCCGCCAGTTCCATGTTGCTTCAGTCCTCGGCAACAATATTTTCTCGTAGAGTTATTCAGAATTATGATTTTGTTGTGTTTTCCGTCATTGTGACGGCCTCCCCTGTTTGAAGCGAGACTGCGCCTTTTAAGCGACAAACCAGTAATGCTGGCCTCAGGGCTGCACGGCTTGTCTCGACAAACCGTTGAGTCAACCCCTAAGTCAATGTATTTAGCCAATAGCTCCCTCTGGCAAGGTGTCCCACAAAGCCCCCTAGACTCTGAACAGGGTCTTCCACAGCTGGAGAAAGGGGTTTGGAAGCTATTCTGTGGACATGTGCAATTCTGAATAAATCCAACTGGCAGATTTATATTGAAGAATGCATCAGGAATCCAACTCCTCTGGTGCACAAGAGCCCTCCTTCTGTAGGGTTTCGTTTGTTTCGCCTTGAAAGATGTCAAATTGCTTCGCTTCCTTCTTCTAAGTAGAGGCAGACGCCTCTTCCGGAAGCAGCGTGGTTTCGGCCCCCAAAGTCCCGCAGTCCATGTTCGACTATTGGCCAGCAACAGATGTCTCCACTGCAAGTTTTGACTATGCTCTTTCATTTTTCTGCAGCATTATGATCCCAAAGTGAAGCTGCAAATGAAAAAAAAAAAAAAAGAGGGACAGAATTACACAACAGAATACATGCAGATTGTCTCATTTACCGTTCTCCAGTAATGTATAGGTAAGTACTCCACAATTTACAACCACAACTGAGCCCCAAAATTCTGTTGTTAAAGTGAGGCATTTGTTAAGTGAATTTCGCCCCATTTTATGACTTTTCTTACCACGGTAGTTAAGTGAATCATCGCAGTTGTTAAGTTAGTTGTACAGTTTTTAAATGAAACGTGGCTTCCCCGTTGACTGTTTGTCAGAAGGTCGCAAAAGGGGTCACATGTTCCCTGGACAATGCAACCGCCATAAACATGAACCAGTTGAAGCATCTGAATTTTGATTATATAATCATGGGGATGTTGTGTGAAAAGGGTTGTAGGTCATTGACGTTGTAAGCGAATGGTCAACTAAACAAAAGTTCTGACCTAGGCTTCCCCAAAAACCACGAAGCAGATTCCTGGCAAAACCCCTTTTATTAAACAAAAGTGAATTCCTCCCATTCACATTGAGCAAAGGCCTGGTAAACAGCTTTCAAAGGTGAAGTTATGTTCACAGACCTTATCTGGCTTGGAAAGCTGCCATGTAAATATTTTCCAAACGCAGTGCGGTGCAAGGAAAGACTTGGCATAAGTCTCTGAGATTCACGGACAGATCTTCAGAGTCCTGAAAGCTGGCAACAGATTCAGACAATAAGGAGGTTGGGGAGGAACCTGGGCCAGTCCTGGAGTCTGGGGAAGGCTCTGATGAGGGCTCTGGGTTGGAGGCAGAGAGAGGGCGAGGGCCGTATGCCAGTTATCAGCCGCCTTCAGAGTCAGACATCAGTGAGGCAGACCAACAGCTGGAGCCTGTTCCCAGTGTGCGCATGCGCAGAGTTGCCAAAGGTAACAGCTAAGGAACAAGGGCTAACTTGGGAGTAAGGCCACAGGTGGACGGTGAAGGCTCCTCCCATAGGAATACAAGGAGACAATTAGTTCATTCCTGCATTTTTGACAAGTATTGCGACTTCTGAAAGATATCGGCCTGGCCACTAACCAATCCTGATAAAGGTCGGTAATTGTGAACTATCTTGGAAGACTGTGGACCGGGGCTTTGCTAGAGAAGAATTCACTGTAAATTAAA